TAGTTATTATTAAATATCACAACCACTTGTTAGACATAATAATAAGATTTTTTTTTCAATGCAGCTAAGGAACCATTGCATTTCAATCAATAGTCTGATGTATAATATTTTATGTATGTTACAACATTTAAAATAAAAAAATAGCAAATGACATAAGTTGATAAAACTACATTAATCTACCTTATTAATCTACATATATGTGTGTGTAGTTCATATAATGGAATCCATACAAATTAGAAACACAAAATAACTGATATGGTTATGGTTTAATTTTTAAATTTATATGAAACATTCAAAATCTATTCCGTGCTTATAATAATTATCTTAAAATCGTTTTGTTTTACTAATAATTTTTTAAAAAATAAACATGAATAATTAAAAATTAAAATTTCAAATAATTGTACAAAAAAAGGAAAATATATATTTTTTTTTTCGAAAGGAATATATATAGTTACAATATTATAATTGTTACATAAAATATATAATATTACTTATCAAATTAACAAATGGTGTAAGCATATTAATTTTAGGCATAACTGTTACAATTTTTATTAAATATTAGAATATTAATTGCTAACTTAGAAAAGTAAACACAAACAAAATGAAATTTGAAACTTACTAAAAAAACTGAAAATTATAGGCGGGAAAGTTTTTCTTTTGTAATAAATGAATAGCCTACAATTATATATATATAGATACACCGTATTAAGTGTAATCATGTATTTTTTTGCTATTATATTATATAATAGTTAATGCTATTACCAACTTATAATATTTCACACTAAATATAAATTACATAAGTATAAACAATTTTATTGTTTCAAGATATTATTATTATTATTATTATTATTATTATTATTATTATTATTATTATTATTATTATTATTATTATTATTAGTATTATTATTATTATTACTNNNNACTGTTATTATTATTATTATTATTATTATTATTATTATTATTATTATTATTATTATTATAGTAGTTAATGCTATTTTTTTGCTATTATATTAATAATATTTAATGCTATTAATTTTTTTACATGATTACACTTAATATGGTGTATTAATGTGAAATACAAAATATGAATGACAAAATTTTATAACTTCTTTTGGAGGGAAAATAAATGAGGTTTTATTAATTAGGTTTTATTTATGAGGTTTTATTTAATGATTAGCTAGCAATTATATATATATAGATATGAGATTCAACGGTTCGGTTACACCCAAATTTATGCTTTGAATAATAAAAAATCTAGAATTTTTTAATTATGGTTAAGTTTAAAAAAAAAGTAGTATGGTTAGTTGTTAGTAATAGAAAATGATATGATCTTCATTTGAGATAACAAAAAGCAATAATCTTTCTTTCATGAAAATAGCAAGCAGCTTTCTTTTCTTTTTCTTTTCATATATGTTATATCGTATTACATGCTGCAACAAGATGATGTATATATATCTTGCATATACGGCTGAGATTACATCTCAAGGGATAAGGAATCACACACACTCCACACTCTCATTGGCTAAGGACTAAACATCTAGGGTTTTGAGTTGTT